ACTACCTTTTGAGCTCCTGTTGTTCTTCCAGTTTTAAATCTATGGTGGCGTTTCCCCCCACTCTGAGTTATTACCCCCCTCCTCCATCCACTGCTGACCCTCCATAGGACAAGCCTCTTATTCATCAATGGTGGAATTCTAGAAGGTAACAATGTTGTATGATTTGCTGCTCACATTTACCCCTCTGTTGGAAAAGCCAATAGATCCCATATTTATGTGCTGATGGAGAGATGAGGTGGTTGGGAAACAGCAGGGATATCTTTGTGCAAGTCATAAAAAGAGGCATTGAGTTTCAAAGGCAAAATTCACACATATACCCTCTTCTCTTCTCTATCCACAAATTGTATGAACAACACATGAGAACAATATTATCTAGTATGGCATCAATCTAACTTTGGAGGCCCTTCATGGAGTTGCCAGAAAGCACTAAACTATCCACTGACTTGGCCCCCTACAGTAAACGAAACATAGGGGTTAAAATAATAACACATAAGTATTAAAAATAATAACAGTCAAAATTCTGTGCCACAAAAACCTACTTTGTTGAGTCAAGAAAAACAGAATTCTATCAGTTGGGTGCAGACTTACACTCAGAATGGATGCACTGAAATTATTAAGATATAAATAATAGGTTAAGGCATGATTTTTTAGTTACATTTATTTCCAAGAAGCCCATAGCATAGCCAGCATGGTGTAGTGTTTTGAGCATAGGACTAGGACCCTGGAGATCAGAGTTTGATTCTCCACTCAGCCAAGGAAACCCACTGGGTGACCTTGGGGGAGTCACACCCTCTCAGCCCCAGAAAATCCCACCTTAGGGTCACCATAAGTCAGAAATGACTTGAAGGCACACAACAAGTATACATGGCTTTCTTCTTCCCCATTTTTTCCTTATAGAGACAACACCCTTATGAGGTAGATTAAGCTGTGAGACAGTGTCAAGCCCAAAGTTCACAAAAAGTGAGTTTTATGGCTGAGAAGTGACTAAAACCTGATCTCCAAACCCCCATTCCAACAGGCTATTACAAACATCATGGCTCTATCCAACATGTCTGGACCAGTTCAGGAATGCATGAAAGTAAAAAACTAAAAACAAAAAGCATTCCTAGGTTCAAGGGGTTGATTAGACAATGTTCTGGTCCATGTATGACTTGTCTTTCTTGAATATGAACTCAGAGCTATTGGGAAGAATAAATTACAAGGAACCGATGATATCCCAATTGAACTACTACAACATACACAGACAGAATCAACTGTAATGTTAACTAAAATATGCCAACAAATATGGAAAACAAAACAATGGTCAACAGATTGGAAAACATCAATATACATCCCCATCCACAAAAAGGAGACACAAAAGACTGCAACAATTATAGGACCATAGCTTTAATTTCCCACACAAGCAAAATTATGCTCAGAATTCCACAGGATAGACTCAAATCATATGTGGGGAGACAAATCCCAGTGAAGCAAGCTGGGTTCAGGAAAGGAAAAGGCACTAGGGAACATATTGCAAACATACAATGGTTAATGGAATGCACCAAACAATTCCAGAAGAAAATTAGCAAGTGTTTTATAGAATATACCAAAGCCTTTGACAGCATAGATCCCAAAAAGCTATGGAGGGCTCTTAAAGAAATGGGAGTGCCAGTACATATGATAATCCTGATGAGGAATCTATACTTAGGACAAGAGATTACTGTTAGAACAGAATATGGAGAAACAGAATGGTTCCCATCTGACAAAAGAGTAAGATAAGGCTGCATTATATCACCCTATTTGTTCAACTTGTACACATAAAATATCATATGAAGAGCAGGTTTAGAATCAAAAGAAGGAGAAGTGAAGATAGGAAGAAGAAACAGCAATAATCTAATATGTGGATGACACCATACTACTAGCGGAAAACATCAGAGACTTGTATTCAGCTCCCCAATGAAGTATTCTGCCCCCAATGAAATTTTCCTTTAGGTCCCATATTTATAGCATTCCAGGGAGTGAGACAATGATAATCGTAAATACCTAGTAATTTTACATTTACTGTGTAAACATCCCTTGGTAACATTGGGTGCCTCAATAAAAACCAGCCTTTTTCTGCCTTTTCAAAAGCAATGCTAGAAATATGGGGACTAAAGGAAAATTTCAAGGGGTATATTATTTGGGGGGGGGGGGCAATGCCCTCATTCTCTACATATCTACATCCCGGTCCTTTGACTCCACTTTTTGTGCAATTGTTAATAGCGCTCAGATCTACTCCTTGAGGTAACCATCTCACTTGGCCTCATGCAAACCTGACTCTGAATTTGGGTTGGTAAGTGTGGTGGTAGAGATGGGACAGACTGGGAAGTTGTTGACGAAGCATATTACATTATGTTATTCCTCTTTATCCCCCCTTGTCCATTACTGTTATAGAAATACTCATCTCCCATTTTTTTCCTTTTTTTTTTTTTTGGTCTTTCTTCTTCAAATTTATTAATGGGTTTGGCAAACGTTGTCAGCATTTCCCCAGATTATGCCAGCAATGTAAGGCTTCCCCTGATGAATGAGGAGCAGTGCTTTAAATCAGTCCCCAACTGATACAAATTATTTTAATGTGCCCCTTTTATGATTTACTGGGATTTTATGAAGTAGCCGGCTATGTTGTAAGACTTGATTATGGACTTGGGTTGCCTTAAAAGATAAAATGCTCTCCAAGGAGAAGAGGGCTCCCTCCATCTTTTAAATAAATGGTACTTAGCTGATTCAGACAGTTCAAAAAAGCCAAGTCATTTAGCTGAATACAGTAGGAGTATAAACGTCCTCAGATTTTGAGTAGGGTTTGTTGTGTAGTTTTCTTTTCCATCCCCCTTAAAATGTTTATGTGTGTGCACACTTAAGTGCTCACTCCCTTCCATCAGTTAAAGCTGAGCAGCATTTTGTATGCTTGTGTCTCCTCACACTTACATTTTTACAAATAGATAATAATAAAAAAAATCTTCATATTCTATGTGTGTGCTTGTTTGATTTCATTCTCCTTCAGGTCATAGTTAGGTAAGCAAGCAAACAAACACCGACAGTGCTCTAGAAATAAACTTTAATAATAATAATAATAATAATAATAATAATAATAATAATAACAAAAAAGTGGTTCTTTTGTGTGGGTTTCTGCACGATAAAAGAGAAAGTTTTTTTTGTGTGTGTTATATTATACTATATGTGGTACAGAATGAACAAAAGAGGAGTTGTTCTTTAGCTATACTGGCTCTACCAGTTGGACTTTGAAGCAGCTATCCCTCAGAACCAGCTTGGGTTTTGAGATTTGTTGTGGAGACCCTTCTCCCTGTCCCACCAGCCTCACAGGTGGTAAACTTGCCTGTTTTGAGATTTTCTATGGAGGTCCTTCTCTCTCCCCCACCACCCGCACAGTGGGAACACAGGAAAGGGCCTTCTTGGTGGCTGCTCCCAGGCTCTGGAACTCCCTTCTTAAAGAAGTTAGACTGGCACCCTCCTTCCTGTTCTTTTGTAGGCAGGTGAAGAGCTCTTTGTTCCTTCTCAAAGAGCCTTTCAAAATATGCTGTACTATTTGTTTAACGTTTTCTTTTCAATGGTGGGAAAACAAGAGAGGGCCTTCTCAGTAGCTGTGCCCAGGCTTGGAACTCTTTTCCCTGAGAAGTTAAACAGGCACACTCCCTACTTTCTTTTTAAAGAAAAGTACAGAAAGAAAAGATTGACTATGGGGTTTGTCTGTACAGGCCAAAAGGCCTGGGTCCCCACCCCCACCCCCTTGTTGTCTAGTTCAGACAATGTAGGCCAAAACACTGCAGATACAATCAGGCCCAATCATGCCAGACCAGATGTGGATCTAGACAATGCATCCTGATCCTGGGGTAAAAAGCTGACCATAGAATCACAGAGTTGGAAGAGACCACAAGAGCCATCCAATCCAACCCCTTGCCATGCAGGAGCTCACAATCAAAACACCCCTGACAGATGGCCATCCAGCCTCTAAAGACCTCCAAAGAAGAAGACTTTGGGCCTTTGCAGACTGCCAGAAATAGTGCAAATTGAGTCCACTTTAAGGGTTAGGGCTAGGGTTAGGGAATCATAACAAGGCAAGGCAAGGAGCATGTGCCGGTAGCAATTCCTGAGTTGATGTAGGGATGAGTGTGTAACCACCCAGTTGTCCTCACACTGACCTGAGGACCAGCCCAAGTGAGCACCAGGGCCAGGATAGCACAGGTTGAGCCTGTGCTACCCTTGCCCATCTGCTCAGTCCCTGTATAGCATAAGACCCATTCCTCCAAATAATGTGTTGGATCTTGCTAATTGTTGTGCTCTGTGTATGTGTATTTTAATGATATATTTTAATCTTGTTTTGATTTTTTTTATTGTTTAATCTCATCTTAACTTTTTTTTTCTTGCAGATTTTTAACAATTTGGTTTTTTTAATTTGTTGCAAGCCGTTTTGAGTCCTAAATTGGGAAGAAGGCAGGATAGAAATACTACTACTATTACTCATAAGTAGGTAAAGAAAGACAGTGGATTTAGAGTGTCATGAAAAGACAACAAATGTCTAGTAGTTTAAAAACAATTACTGTATTTTCACTGCCAGATAGGATTAAACACTCCACTTTCTTCACTGTGGCTGCATCGTCCATCAATGATGGTCTTCCAAGTCTTGGCTTATCTGTGAGGAACATGTGATCACTTTGGAAATTCCTTTTCCACCTCACAATAGTCTCATAAGAGGGGGAATTGTTTCCATAAACTATCATAATCTCATCATGAATTTGCTGGGCACTATTACCCTTCAAATGCAGGAACTTTATCACACTGTAAGCCTCAATCTTCTCCATCTTACACTTTATTTACTTCTGGCACAACCTGTAACAAAAATAAAGGACACAAAGAGATGATTTTCTCAACATCATGCACTTAGGGACCATTGATGGCACTGACAAAATTTCATCAATATACCATAATAACATTACTTTACGATACCCCCTCATATCCCACTATAAACCTGTGTGGTGTAGTGGTTTGAGCATCAGACTAGGATTCTGGAGATCGACGTTCAATTCCCCACTCATCTAGGCCATGGAAACCTGCTGGGTGACTTTAGGCAAATCATATCCTCTCAGCCCCAGAAAACCCCAAGATAGCGTCAACTTAAGTCTAAATGATTTGAAGGCATACAGTAACAACATACTGAATGAGGGAAGGAAACTATTCACTAACACCATATGTGAAAATTTCCTAAACCTGCCCCAGAGCTATTGGGACAAATGTAGGTTCCTATAGAAAAGCACCTATACCCCCTCTCCAAATAAGCAGGCTGTAATAGAGAAAGAAATAACTGGTTGTAAGCTATTTGCTTTAGAATAAAAAAGAATGTAGTCTCAATAGCCTCTTTGGAGTCCAAGAGGTTATCAAAGTATAAATGCCTTTGCTGGAGTGCACTGTTTGAGAAAGACCAGAAAACATTTTAAACATATTTATAGGCCTTGCTCTTTTCTGTTTCTGTACCTCTTTCATCTGAGGTTTCACAAATAAAAAGTGTGATTGCAATAGCCAAACTGATAACACTCAAACCTGCTTCAAGACAAGGACTTGTACTGAAGTGGCAACTTGGCCATTGTTGTTTAGCAATCCTGCACACGTCTATTCAGAAGTAAACCTTGCCAGCCTGTTTTCGGCCACAAGTCGAAGTGCTAGTTATGATCTATAAAGCGCTATATGGCTCAGGTCCAAATTATATGAAGGACTGTATTCTTCCATATGCCCAAGTTTTGAGATTTTCCTTCTCTCTCTCCCACCACCCACACAGTGGGAACACAGGAAAGGGCCTTCTTGGTGGCTGCTCCCAGGCTCTGGAACTCCCTTCTTAGAGAGGTTACACTGACACCCTCCTTCCTATCCTTTTCTAGGCAAGTGAAGACCTCTTTGTTCCAGTTCAAAAGGCCTTTCAGAATGTGCTGTACTGTTTGTTTATTGTTTTATTTTCAATGCTCATGCTTTTAAATGTTTTTCATTCTATTGATAATTTAATTATATTTTCAACTTCTGTATGATGTGCATTTTTAGCTGTATCTTTTTAGCATTTGTAATCCAGTTTAAGAGTCAGGCAGGTAAAAAGTTGAGATGATGGTGGCGGCAGTGGTGGAGTTTGACTGAACTCCTACAGGGATGCAGCTACTGCATAGTTTTATATGTTGTTCTCAAAGGGCTAGGACAGGAAAACAATGAAATCTTTTTGGTCTGATAGCCTGCAGGTTTTTGTAATCTAAGAGATTCTGTAGCAATAATGCAATTTGACACCAGTTTAACTGCCAGGGCTCCATCCTACAGAATCCTGGGATTTGTAGTTTCATGAGGCACCAGCACTCTTTGGCAGAGACAAATGCTAAAGACCTTGGAAATGCTAAAGACCTTGTAAAACTACAGATTGTAGGATTCCATAGTTGGAGCTACAACACTTGACGTGATATCAAATGGCATTATTTCTACAGTATAGGTCATAGAATCATAGAGTTGGAAGAGACCACAAGGGCCATCCAGTCCAACCCCCTGCCAAAGAAAGAGACTCCACCACTCTCCAAGGGAGTGTGTTCCACTGTCAAACAACCCTTACTGTCAGGAAGTGCCTCCTAATGTTGAGGTGGAATCTCTTTTCCTGGAGCTTGCATCCATTGCTCCGGTTCCTGTTCTCTGGAGCAGCAGAAAACAAGCTTGTTCCCTCCTCAATATAACACCCTTTCAAATACTTAAACAGGGCTATCATATCACCTCTTAATTGCCTCTTCTCCAGGCTAAACATACCAAGTTCCCTAAGTTGTTCTTCATAGGGCATGGTTTCCAGACCCTTCACCATTTTAATTGCCCTCTTTTGGATACACTTCAGTTTCTCCACATCCTTTTTGAGTTGTGGTGCCCAGAACTGGACACAGTATTCCAGGTAGGGCCTGACCTGAGCAGAATACAGTGGGACTATTACTTTTCTTGATCTATTCTAGACAGTAGGTCTAGATGTACCTGAAGTTTAGTTTGAGCTACACTAAACTGAAAAAAAAAATAGTCTGAATTTAAAGGAAGCAACCAAGGTGTCAAACCTTGGGGGGGGGGGGGGAATCAGCACCATGGACAGCTCTTTTAAGAGTTCAGACTAATCTGTGGAGATGATTCACTGCCCCACTGACATGGGATCCACCAGTCACTACTTGTGGAAAGAGAGGGTTTTGGTTTGTTTGTTTGTTTGTTTGGACTACAACTCCCAGATCCCCTCCAGCCATTGCAATCAGTGTCCATGCTGGCTGGGGAATTGTAGGAGTTGCAGTCCATTAAGATCACTTTTTCTAAGCCCTGCATTCACACTATTTCAAATGGGCTCAGTGTCCTGCACCTTTTTTCTTCTACAGCAGCCCTCCAAAACAAACACAGGCAGGACATGCCAAAGATGTCTTATCAAAAAAGGCCATCAAATATTTTGTTGTTGAATTTTACCAGTTCTCAAGGAAGGGGTGGGACTGTTTAGATATCAGATGTCTTTTCAGATGGTCTAGTGAGCCAGTGTTGAGTAATGGCTGAATTCCACAAAGCTTTTTTTCTCCCTCCTTCCTCCCACTTGTTTTCTTTCTTTTTTCCCCTCCCCTCCCCACCTCTCTTTCTCCCTCTCTCTCTTT